TAATAGCTTCTTGTTACTACTAGTAAGGCACTTGTTACTACTAGCGAGGCACTTGTTTCTAGAGATGAAAAATTGGAGCATCTTTCCCCGGACAGAACTGAACGGAAAATGCACGGTCGAAACCGGAAAATGCAACACCGTGAGCTGCTCGGAATGCTTTGGTCCCATCTTATCTGCTTTGGAATGCTTCTGGCAGAACATATTTTGGGAATTGTCTCAAATACCCGCAACTATACTCCTTACTGGTACAAAAAAGCATGTAATAACTTAATCTTGACGCCAAAAGGCATTCTCTTTACAGACACGGTTTCAGACAGTGTCCAAATGCTACTATATAATACATGATATACGTGCTTGCTTTAGGTGAGTTTTGCACGGTGTGCTTTGCTCAGTGCGTGGTTGAAACATGTTGAAACCATTTTTGTCCACGCGGCGAAGACCGAACGGTTTGGTCGTTGGAATGTCATTGCAGCGGAGAAAGAACATGAAAGAAAGAAAAGGAGAAGAGAAGGAGAAGAGACATGTCTAAACTGATGGTCTAAAGATGTCTAAAGATTACCTTGCATCACCACCTGCAATGGACGAAAACAAACAAAAACAAGGTCCAACTGTCCGACAATCCACGTTCATCCTTTTCTCGAACCCGATGTCAAACTGGACGAATCCGATTGTCTTCCTTTTCTTTCTGAGTTTGTGCGTTCTGTTTCTGCACCGGTCCTTCTTTTCCGTTTCTCAAAGCAATCCTCTGCTGTCCTTATCTCTGCTTGTTCCTACTTGGGCTTGCATAGTTCTACTTTTTGCTCTCCTTCTCTTCATATGTCCCTATTATCAATGACGTGTCTCGACTTGTTCAAAACTGTTCAATCAAGTTCTGCATTCCTTTGCTTGTCTCAAGTGTCTTGCTTACTCTTTACTCGTCTTGTACTTTACATTTAACCTTGGCTTTTGTTTTATCTCTTTTCCTGGCTGTACTTCACTTCTCTCGCATCCTCTCTGCTGTTACTTACTTGTCTCAACCTTTCCTGACATGCTTTTCTGATTTGCTCTATTTTGCATTACTGGCCTCCACACCTCTCTACTTTCTCTATCATTCTACACTCTTCCTTCTTCCAGGTCTCCTTCTCGATTCCTGTTTCCCTGCGAAAAGCAGTCATCACTCCATGCAAGACAATTCGACTGTGGCCTGGCCAGCCCTGCAGCCAACAAAACTTGTACATCTCACTTTGCGTGTGTTGCACAAACTATGTCACAAATCCCTATTATATAATTCATCCAGTCATATCTAGTCTATATGATTGGAGATCTGGATCGTCTCAACATGTCTCAACCCTGACATCGGCGGTATGACGTTGTGCATAGGACGATGAAGCCAGACGAAATGAGAGCATCATGAACACCTGAAGGCCTGAAGGTGTTGGTGATTCACCACGTTTATAGCATCTGAAAGCTGGGCGGAACATGTCAACCCGATGTTGAGACAGATCGTTTTTGATTACACAAATTGTGCATATAACATGATAAAACACTTGGCGACCTCCGACCTCCTTGCCGTTCACGGAGCTAATGGCATAGCCTTCGCGAATCTTCTTCGTCGGATGATCGCAGTTCCATCGCTGCAGAATTCCATTATCCTAAACAGGTGAAACTGAAGGACTTTTTGATGTACTAGGAACAAGAAACTACTAGGGGCTCCTGGCATCGCTACTAGGAGCAAGGACGCTACTAGGGGCTTCTGGCCTTATTACTAGGAACAAGGACGCTACTAGGAGCAAAGAAAGACACGTGACATCAGGTGACTCACCTGACTCATACTTGTATATGAGTCAATGAGTCAATGAGGGAGATCCCCAACCAAAATGATTTGGATTTATTTTCGAACCTTCCATGGGGTCGTTGCCTGGGAGGTCTCCCAATTTCAACACACATAATGCACACGCATATTCCTTCATTGGGCACCTGAAGTGCCAGCTTTCAACTCGGCCTCACAGTTTTACGTCCTGCACAGTGATTCACCTCCAATTCGATGCCAGCAGTCGCCGTGTCAGTTTCGACGATCTCCGACGTGGTCGAAGCTCTCTCAAACGGGTATGTTTCTTCAGCTTAGAAGTGGCCATTTGTTCTACCTGAATCCTGCTTCTTAAGAGAGTCCGAATTCCTCCCTCATCAAACACCAGGGTTCATTTCGCCGAAAACGTGCCTACTTCATTACGAAACCGAAACCGGGTTCCTTGGCAAATGGCCGAGGTACAGCCCACACGGTCCAATCGCAGAAAGGACAATGGGAGAAAGGACTGGAACAATCTCGGATAGCCGCTGGTTGTTCTGCTCAATCGCTGAACCCACAGTGCGTACAAACCATCAAAAACCATTCACCGCTGACCTCGTTGTCAGCAAATTCTGTCAGATTTCTGCCCATCTCCCAAGCATTTATAGCCTGGCGTCCTGCTCTGCATACATGATCAACAAACCATCGCAGCATAAAACCTCCGAGCAGGATTTCTTCATGAAGAAAAAGAAACACATTTACGGACGAACATGTCTTTTCGATATGCTTCTTTCGACTTCCAAGAGCTGCTCCGGGTTCGGTCGCGACGTGAGACACTGATGCCAAGGAAGCTTAACCAGGTCTACCAGTCGGTCTACGACCAGTCGCACAAAATCTGTCTTGAATCCCAGATCTTTGTTTCCAAGGCTGATTGTATTTCCACCACAACGTCACCTCTCTCGGGTTGACACCTAGTTTCCTCACCAATTCTTAGGCGCCCGGGTACGCAAAACGTAAAACGTAAGGTTCCGCACGTGTAATCCAAAACGTGCAGCCCCCTCCCAAAGTCCAGGCCCCATCCAAATACCTGCATTTACTGTCCTCGGGTAAATGTATCTGTGTGGTCTGGAGGTCCACTTTGCGGAAATATGTTCGTCCTCCAAAATAGAAACTAATGACTATGGGCTACTGCTGGACGCTTTTCTCTCACTCTTGGAAATGCATTTGGAAATTGTTTGTGTCCAAGCTATAGGGCTATGTGAAAATGCATTTGGGATGTTTCTGTGTTCTATGGCCTTCTTCTGTTTATGCATGAGGAAGTTCCAAAAACGCATCTGAGCTCCAAAACGTGGGAACGTACGGCTCGAAACGTGAGTTTTAAAACGCAAGGTTCGAACGCACAAAAGGTAAGTAACCAGGCAGCTAAGTCACCAATCAATATGGGGAGCCCATGCTGGTTTTCCAGGGGCACTTCAAACATCATTGAGCAAACCGTTTGAGGTTTTGCTAGTCTTCCCCGAAGGACTTCTGGAATCCACGTTGCAGTAAGCCTAACTACCCTCTACAAAAAAGACTCTAAAGAGTCTAAATCAGCGAATGACCTTTAAACTGTTTCTTTCCGTTCCTTTTTCTGTATCTTTCTTCTTTCGGTGTTCGTTGTCTTCCCGCCCGAGGATAGGGGCCCTGATTGGGGTAGCTAGAATTAAAAACAGAAACCCACCCTATTGTGACCTCTGCTGCAGCACATCACCCCGTGCAATTAAAAAAACACAAATTCTGACACGGACAATACACAATAACTCCAAACATGAGCCCCGATCCAGGGATCCAAGAGTGTCCACCCCTGACACCTTGACCCGGAAGGTCAAGCCACATGCTTTTGGGGCTCTAGGTTTAGACCCATCCCCAGATGATGACAACGCTAAACGCAAAGAAAAACACACCAAACAGCCCACAAATGCTGAAGCCAATGACCCCCGCGTTATCCTACCAGCGTACCTGGGTAGGTGGGGATAGCTCAAAATAACTCTTGTCTTTAGATCTCTAGACCTTATCTTTCTGTTCAATTCTTTGCCTAATCACTGTCTTCTCTTCAAAGTTCCTTGGACTTATTTTTAAAATAGCTTTTCTTCTTTCCTTCTCCTTTTTTGGGCTTTGAAAGGCCGAAAGAGGCTCCTTTTGTTGGCATCGTTTCAAAAAAGAGCCGGTCAAAGCAACGCCAGAGCCAACGCGCCTTCAAGCCGAAGGCTTCGCTGCTCTCGTGGTCGCTTCGCTGAAGCAACACTTCGAAGAAGTCGAAGGTCGGCAGCCGTGCACCAACAGGGCAACACATGGGCGTTGAAACAGGCAGCGAAAAGCACTGCAAAAACGTGTGGCAATGTGTGGAAAAGCCGTCGATGTAGACGTCAAAGTTGAAAACACATGGAGGGGAAAGGACTACTGAGTCCTAGGGGGGCTTTGAAGACTTGAGCTCTGAGGTAGTGCAGCTGTTCTTAAAAAGTTTCAACATGCGGGCGGCCCTGGTTTTTTCCTGCATTGCAGTGTCTGCGGGCATCAGGCTGTGTTTTTGATCCCATGTCATCCAAATTGAATTGACACGAATCGTGAATCGCAGCTTCAAACTTGAGCCCACCGACCGGTGATCGATCAAATGAGTGGACTTAGGCTTCGGTGAGTCGCATGTCTCCCTCGTTCAACATCCGAACTCAACCACGTTACGACAAGGAAATGATCATTACGACAAGCCCTCGTCGGTTGTCTTCGGACAGGCTCGTGAAAAGGAGACGATTCGCACGGGCAAGGCAGTCCACAACGGGGGCCGCGGTCCCTCGACGGCCTTCAAGTCTAAGGAGGCTTGCAAGTATTGCGACAACGGCAGATTCTCAGCGCCCTCCTGCGACAGTCAAGAACCAATGGGGACATTCCAGAATTCCAAACACGCATGGTCTTCATGTGTCTTGGTGAATCTTTGAATGTTCCAGCTGGCTAGGTGCAAGACTTTAGCCGATTCAAACTAGAACTCAGCATGAAGTGCTATGAATGGCTAAGTTTCTCCATGGTCGGGATGGTCAACATTGGAGTATGCAGAGTGCTCTAAATGATCTCAAATGGGATCCTATATCGAGCCTTCTCTCCTTCTCTCTTCCATGGAACAAGTGTCCATTAGCGCCTGGGTCTTCTTTGAACTCTCACCAGCCCTGGGCCTGTTGACGTTTCACCCAACTGCTCCGGGGCACCCGGATTTCTGAATGTCAACATGGCATGTAAACTGCTTTAAACAACTCCACCTCCCAATCAAGTGCCACTGTAGGCGGTGTGACATGACTTCCACATGTTCGAACCACCCGTATTTCTTGCATTCCATGTTCTGCCCCAAACCATTTAAATTACTTATCTTGATTGCGAGACTTTGTTTTCCAACAAACTGGTTTCAATTGCAGCATGACGAGCATCGCACAAGGACAAAGCCAAACTGATGTGGGGGACGTACCAAGTAAGGAAGCAAAAGAACCCTCTTGAGGACGCCTGGTTTGCGTCGCTGAAGAGGCATCTCACGCATTCTTCGGATGCCACTATGTCTTGGTACGCATGGGACCTAAATACCGAATGCAACCTTGGGCACCTCTACCAGGCACGTGCGGCACTGGTACATTCAGTCCATTCAGATCTGTCTAGACTTTCGGGTTCAAAGGTCCAGCCCAGTGGGCCAATAATCGGAGCTCCGAAGGAATGTGCCGCAGCAAGCCGCAGCATGTTTGCTTCACTTCTCTGAGACGTCCTTTCATGTCGCCGCAGTCTCTTGGATTGGGGCGACTCAGACCGCAAACCTCTTGAGATTTGGGCTATCTCAGCCAGCCAGGAGACCTCTTCTCTTCTCTCCGCTCCGAAAACGCCGACACCTGACCGTCTGACCGCTGGTTCGGACACCGTCCTCATACATGGGGTTGGCTTGATCCAGCAAGAGCTGTACCGCACAGTCCGCTGTACTGGCCACGAAGTGTTGAGCCTGAAGGACCGAGGTCTCTGAGAGGCGGAATGGTCACCGAGAAACCCACCGGTCGCTTTTCTGGTGGATGTGTTTAGGAAAAGAATTCCACCATATTCTGTTGAGCTGATCTGCTATCTTTCTTGAGTCACCTGAAATCAACAGTTTCGTTCACTGATCACCTTCATGGTTGTTTCGTGTTCAATGTGTGCATCAAAACACTGAATGCAACACCTCAACAATCTAAATCTGGAGAGACTCCTCCTGCCTTCCCACTCCTTCAGCCTCCAAGTCGTCTGATTTCGCTTCACATTTGGATCCCATAAAACCCCTCAAACTTTGGGTGTGGCAGCATCCGAAACATGAGAACATCCGAACATGTCACTTTCCAAGGTCCCCCTCGTTTTTCTATAAGGGATGGTGATATCTGATCTACAAAACGTCAAGATTTGGGCCAGGCCTTTTCGGATCCTTTCGAAAGCTGCAAGACCACTGAGCTCACTTGACAACAACACCCACGGATGAATCGGGCCCACTGAGCACGGAGCAATGCTCTTGGAGATATCGCTGAAATCCTGGGTGCCCGCGGGAAACCCCGCGGGAGACCGCAGTCTCGTCTCGTGGTCTTCACCAACGACGATGCTTTGGACGGCTCGAGTCTCCGGCAGTCTCTGCGAATGTCGCAGTGGAAGCTCCGCACCTTGTGCACCACCACCTGGTAGCCTTGTGGAAGCTGCCCATCCAAGGTCAACCTCACATGGAGCTTGGAATGGTTTGGACGTAGCCATCGCATGGGTGGCCAAAAGCTGTGATCTTTTTTTCTCCGTGGTGCTTTGCATGAGAAAAGCTTGCGCTTCTTATATCCAAGTGTTTGCCTGAGCGTCCCCACATGTGCAAATGCAAAGCAATGAGTCATGTAGGCTCCGGAGCTGAGTATTGATGGTTGGTCAGGTAGCCTGTGAACAGTTATACCGTATACAAGTTACTTAAATAACAATAGGATATAATAGGTTATATATGATGCATGGAAGAGGACTTCCTCTCTACAAAACAGCTGGGTCCCTCCGAATCAGGGTGACCAACCGGAAGCAGTTGTGGTTAAACCTCTCATCACGATTTGGGCACCAACATTGGAACAACTGTTAGAACATTGGAACAACTTCAAGAGGCCATGGGGATTCCACTTCGCTTGGGATCGCCCACGACACTGGACTCGACTCGGTAGACGCTTCGGTAGACGCTCGGCCGCCCCACGAGCGGATCCTTTGCACAAAAAGCTCGAGCACCTAGGCGAGAAGGGAGTCAACGAAACATTAAGAGATGACAATGGTGATCAACCTCCTGACAAGATGGTTGGGGTGGGTGCCAGGGAGGTCTAACCACCTTCTGAGGATATGGTTGTTGCCCTAGGGAATTAGGCAGCCTGTGTTTGCTTCTTTTCTTTTCGCCCTCCCTTCCCGCTCTTTTGTGTTGGGATGGCAACGGGACCTGGATGCTCTTGTTGGTCCACTTCCAGTTTCTATGTCCGACTCTGTGTATTATGGCTTACCCAAAAAGCTGTTAGGAATCGGAATAGGACAATGGCACTGATCTTGACAGACCCGGCCCTGCGCTGATCTACTTGAACATCTTTACTTTGCTGAGCCATACTATACGCATCAAATTGGTAGGGCTGAGCCATGACACTCCACGCCTGTGAGTGCAAGGCAGTTGAACAAGTGCCCAACAGCCAGGGCTACAACTGGGCAATGTGAATCTACTTTTCTATCACCCAAACACTCAGTGTATGCCATATTTATCAGTGCCGATCAGTTGGGGTTGACCTGGAGTCAATGTAGGCAGCATATATACATGGAGTGTCTGTGTCGGTCTTTCAATTTCGGCACTCCTATGCTACCCCACCAGTCTACCCCACCAGGGTCCTCTTGTGAAAATTGTGAGAATATGGACATTTAGGAACAAGAAGCTACTAGGGGCTCCTGGCATCGCTACTAGGAACAAAGACGCTACTAGGGTCTCCTGGCCTTACTACTAGGAGCAAGAAGCTACGAGGAGCTTTTTTCTTATGATACACAACCAAATGAGGCCTGCCATCTCCTCCTTCTTTCTCAGCTTCCGAGCGCTCGCATTGGATGTGACTAAGATATAGCGCTGGCGGCCCTGGTCAGCCTGCCACGCACGAGGTTCGGGTCGACACGGTGGGGGAGGAGCCGGAACATTTGGAAACGCATCTCCAAGCGGAGCTGCCTGATGAAGCAACCATTCACTGCCGAAATATCTAACCTTTTGCTTAAGAGTTCCACTTCTTGCCAAGCAATCACCCGGTCAGAAGCAACATCCAACGACCCTGCATCGATTCTAGGAGCATGTCTCAGGCAGTTCGCACGTGCTCGCGACAGCTCGATGTGCTCTCCCGGCCAGGATGGAGGTGAGCTCCAGGTTCGAGGACCAGTAAAGCCTGGACACCAGTGGCCGAGCGAGGGCTTAGTGGTCGGAGTGTTTGTCAAAGGTGCTGTGGCAAAAGAGTCTGCAAGAGGGCTCCACCGCATCTCCCCAATTGATTTTTTGTCGGAGCGTCTGGCTGGTGAGACCTGCCATCCCCAAAGTTCGTGGTGATCGGATTAACATGGATTGACATAGAATCCAGTTGTGCTCATGTGGATTTGCGGGCATGTGTCCCCTCTGCGGGTCGCTACTAGCGGGCAGGTTCAAGAGAGTTTTGAGAAGCCCGCACTTTGGTCATGAGAAGCCTGCAGCCGTCCACGGCTGGGACTTGTTGCACTGGAGACACAGTTCTTTTTTGGTTCAGCTAAGTAGCCACACAAACCGCCAAGGAAGGGCCTGAAGGGCACAAGGGCACGATCTGCACTTTTTCAGTACTGGCAGAACAAGAGACCTCCATTTGTGATGGACGGTCCATTAATTTAGACTCTTGATTCATAAGAACCATATAAAACCCCCATATGAAGAGGCTATACAATCCAAATGTATCCAAATGTTGTTTTGGTATGTTTTGGTACTCATCAAGAGTCTACCCCAAACACTTCATGTATAGTACATTAGGGTGGTTGACCTGGGGTCCATATATGCAAATATGATCAAATATGCCTGGAGTGTCTGGGTACATTATGTCTACAACCAAACGTGAAACCGGTTTGTCCAAGCGAGCACACGCAGCGCCTGAAGTCACTGCAGTTCCCACCGGCCGGGCTCAACTCGCCCCACACGCTCGTGGGGAAGACTTCCTGGAGACGGTCGCAAGGGACGTTGAGACGGGTGAAAGCATTCAGGTCAACAAAGGTGAAGTTGTTTAACGAGAAGCCATACTATGACCTGTCAAAACGATTTGGTCCAGTGGATGGGAAGCATCAAATACCATGAGTGGACATGATCATGCCATGTATACCTACATTTTGTATACGTGACTTCTCATGCCCGACCTCGAGGACAGATTCAGCTCACAGGAATGGATTCTTCGAGACGGACCCATGACGACCCATGACGACCCGTTTCAGGCCTTCCTTTTCCACGCCAAAGCGGTCCGTTTCTCGTGCTCCGAGACGGAACGGATTTTCCACAGTCTAGGGGCGGACACTGAAAAACACGCGCGGAGAGGCACTCAGACAGGAGTTTTGCCCAGAGAAATCGAAGTGGTGAAGGGGGGTCAAGTCCTATCACCAGGTCCAAGTGGGCAACTTTAGCAACACTTCTCTCTCCAAACATCACCGAATGGTGGCTTCACCACCAATGGTGGCTCTCCAAAAACGCCTGCTCACCGTGCCTCCGGCGTGGTTCCTGCGCTTCGGTCGGTGGACATCGGATTGCGACCAAAAGCCGCACCGGACACTCTGCAGAGTATCCAATTCAGCGCCCTTGCGCGAAAGAACTCCCTGGAACCCTTCAGATGTGGTTCGAAATCACTACACCATTGTGGGCTGAAAAGTTGAGATGCTCCCAAATCAGACACCAAGCACGTGCGGCGAAGAAGCAGGGGTGACCCGTTCGCCTTTGGGTTCCAGGGATTTCTTTTTGGTGCCATCGGGATCTTCGAGATTGCGGTGGAGGACAGGATCTCGGGTGAAGCTTGGCTCTGATGGTGATTCTGTGATTTTTCCAGTCTGGGTTTCACTTTGGAAAACGTGTGGATTCAGACTATCGCCCCTTTGCCACTGCTTCGTCTTCGAAAACACCTTTCTGCGGAGCGGAATTCGGGGATGAAGCAAAGACCTTTCAAACCTGTTCCGGAAGCGCGCCAACCGAAATCGGGTCGCCACCGGATCGGTCATCGGTCGGTCATTTGCATCCTGTTTTTCTCCAACTCGGTCATGACCAGCATCAAAACTTCAAGCGACCGGTTCGGGATGTTATGTCGCAACTTCAAAGGCCTCAAAAACATTCATCTGTTGAGTGGGAAGATGAATTCCACGCCGATTGCAGTGTATTTGCTCATTCTGAGAAAGTGCACACTGAAGTGTTGGGCCCGTTTCACCCATTAAGTCATGTGCAAAGCAAGGTGTGGAGCCATGGATATATATATATATGTATAAGTCCACAGCAGAACATGAAGAAGTCCTGTTCACCACTCTTGGCCGTCACTCCGAGTCATTCCCGAAAACAACATCAAGCTGAGCTCCGCTCGTGAGCAAAACATGTTGTCCTCCGAAGAAGACAACATATGTACCTTTGTGTCCAAGTCAACCGAATGTTTCAAACCACATGCAGGCTATAGATGTGGAGAATCACATGTGTCAGGTGAAACAATTCCATTAATGGGGGAAGCTCCTACAACGGAGCTTCACTTCGGTGGCAGATTTCACTCCTCCATCTACTTCACACAGAAACGATCGCCAAGACGTACCGCCGCTCTGAAACGCTCATCCACCGTCTCGGACCCGGTGAGGCAAAAACCGGTGATAGCGAGCAGCAGCGGTTTTTTTTATGCATCTTTATGCTTCTTTAGTGTTTGAAGGTGTCAGGAATCCATTTTGACATCCTGGACATCATGCTTTTGAGATCTATTTTGGTGAACATCGTGCACTGCGAACACTTGAGGCCACGCGGGGTGAACGAAAGCTAGCCACTGCGAAGCAAGAGCGACTCCAACTAGTTGGTGAGTAGGAAAGAGCCACCATAGGGCCATAGATAGGGATTCTTCTCCACAGTGCTGTGTGGATTTTGCTGATGAAGAGGATGAACATGATGAGAATGATGAGCAGGAGGCAGCTTGGCTGGGAAGGGGGACGGGGTGAAAGAAGAAAGCAATGGTATGGGGTGGGGCTTTGCATCTTCTGGGATGGTAGGCATGAGAAGAACCAAGGGGAATACGTATAAGAAGAACCACTGTAATTACCATAGAGTTTGGCAGCAGCAAAGCACCGAACAACAGCAGCAGCAGACCACCCAGCAGCAGCAGCAGCAGACCACCAAGCAGCTGCAGCAGACCACCCACCAGCAGCTCCAGCAGAACACCAAGCAGCAGCACCTGAAGCTGGGATCCAAAGGATCCAAAGGTAACCCCCGCAATGATGAGGCCCTTCATACGGTGGTTGTTAACCACCATCAACCCTTATGAGTGGCTTATTAAAACGCTTTTTGGGAGAGTGGTTCCTTTACGGGGGGGGTAGCTACAATACAAATTAAAGTTTTAGGTGTACTGAAATGGTATCAATGATGAAAAATTGGTAGACAATGACCAAACATTGCTCAATTAACGGACTATAAAAGCACTAAGAACTGTAAACAAAACATGCCATGGAAACATAAAACATCCTATTCATTCCAACATATTCCAACCACCAGCACTTCAGGGAAGTTGGTTCGCTGTTTCAAAAAGAAATCAAATGCTGTAACCTGGTGGCTTCCAGTATACGTATGTCCAAACCCATCATTCCTTATTGTGACTGCTGTTGTGATTATTGCTGCTGTTGTTGTTGTTCATCTTGTTGTTATTATTGTCGTTGTTATTGTTCTTGTTGTTGTTGTTGTTGTTGTGGTTTGTTGTTCTTGTTGTTGTTGTTGTTGTGGTTGTTGTGGTTGTGGTTGTGGTTGTTGTGGTTGTTGTGGTTGTTGTTGTTGTGGTTGTGGTTGTGGTTGTTGTGGTGGTTGTTGTGGTTGTGGTTGTGGTTGTGGTTGTGGTTGTGGTTGTTGTTGTGGTTGTTGTTGTTGTTGCTGTTGTTGTTGTTGTTGCTGTTGTTGTTGTTGTTTTGTTGTTGTTGTTTTGCTGTTGTTGTTTTTTGTTGTTGTTTTGTTGTTGTTTTGTTGTTGTTTTGTTGTTGTTGTTGTTGTTGTTTTGTTTTTGTTTTTGTTTTTGTTTTTGTTTTTGTTGTTGTTGTTGTTGTTGTTGTTGTTGTTTTGTTGTTGTTGTGTTGTTGTTGTTGTTGCTGGTACTGTTGTTGTTGTTGTTGTCGTTGTTGTTGTTGTTGCCGGCGCTGTTGTTGTTGTTGCTGTTGTTGTTGTTGCCGGCGCTGTTGTTGTTGTTGTTGCTGTTGTTGTTGGTGGTGGTGCTGTTGTCTTTTGTTGTTGTTCATATGGTTGTTGTTGTTGATGTTGCTGTTACTGTTCTAGTTACTGTTGCTGCGATTATGCTGTTGTTGTTGATGTTGTTGTTGTTGTGCATCTTGTTGTTGTTGTCGTCATTATTGTTGTTGCTATTGCTGTTCATCTTGTTGTTGTCGTATCCAATTATGGTTGTTGTTCGTGTTGTTCATCTTGTTGCTATTACTACTGTTGCTGTTGTTTGACGTTGTTGTTGTTGTTGTCGCTGTTTTTGAGGTTGTTGTCGTTGTTGCTAGTGGTGTTGTTGCTGCTGTTGTTGTTCTCGTTCTGGTCGTATTGTTATCTTTGAAAGGGTTTTGTCGCATAGTTCCCAACAGTCCATCTCTCGGGGGGGTCCATAAGATTGATTTAATCAATTATTCTCAGATTTTTGAGGTGCGTCCACCCCGTCATTTAACTTGCTATCGCAAGAGCAACTCCAGCTAGCTGAGGCTAGGTTCGTGAATAGGAACCACCGAGCTGGTGATGGCGTCTTGCCGGTTTTCGCGTCTTTCTTTGATGAATCATAGCAAGAAAAAACCGTGAACGAGGAATTGCTAGGTGTCACCGGTTCCAGGAGATGTCTGCGGAACGCTTTTTAGGTGGCCAAGCTTTTGGAGTACTTGGACAAAGCCGTTTGGCTTCGCTTTCTGCTCTTGTCTGCTGAAACCGCTGCTGCTTGCACTCCTAACTACTCCTAACTCCTGCAAAAAAGAGTTGCTCGCAAGGGGCCATCGAAAAGGACCCACCGAAGTCACTGCGAGCGCGTCACTCGAATTGGGCAGCTGGAGGTCGTAAGAACATGCTAGAAGTCCCAGACACTCCATGTATGGCATATTTGCATACATTGACCCCAGGTCAATCACCCTAATGTAGGTAAATATGCTATACCTGGAGTGTTTGGGAGTGTTTCTGGAAAGAACTCGTCGGGCTTTTCTCCTGGCTTCCGAGCTGCCAAACATCAACCTTGTAATGACCCCAAAGTGGTCGATCTTGTGCGGTTTAGACATTCAGCTAGTCAACTGCTGTGCAAACAAACATTTATAAGGGGACCAGCTCATTTCTGTTCGGTTCAGCGTTCATTTCCCCCAAAGGCTGAATCTTCCATCCGTTTCTACACCCCCTGCTTGCCGTGGCATGCTTTTAAACGCTCATGCAAGCGCTGGCTCCGGCACTCTCTCCCCAATGACCGGTAGTGCTAAGCTGATTCACAAAGCTGATCCATGTTGGGCGTCAACCTTCTTTTACTTTAGTGGATATTGGCAGGACGCCAACTTCTCAACGGGTAAACGTTTTTACGGTGGCAAGGGATCATGTAAGTTGCGCGCAACATGTTCTTGCCGGAGAGAAAGTCTTGGTCAGCAACCCTCAACCCGTGTACACCAAAAAGCTGCCTGATTTGAAGCACTTCCAAAACAATCCCATTCATCTGGTTCCCTCAAGCTTCTGAGGTCATATTCTCCATGTTTTCTTGAAACTCAGCTACCCTTCACAAGGATGAATCAACTCAACTCAACTATTAAACTACTGATATGCTGAGAGGATAAGTCGTTGCGAAACAATAAATACAGCTCTCTCTCTCTCTCTCTCTATATGGCTCTCTCTGTAGCGATCGAATGCCTTTTCGCGTGCCGGAACGACTGGAGACAGTCTCTGGCAATTTGGTGGGTCACCAGCGTAGACCACAGACGCGGAGGCGCCAGCTGCGCGGCCTGCAGCTGGAGGGTGATCGAGTCATAAAGTTGGTAGAATTTCATATGCATCTTGTTTTGCGGCAATTAAGGGTTGTATCATTAACATTGTCAGGTAAAAGGCTTCAATGACAGAAAACTTTCCTACTCCTTCCCCTCATCTAGAGATGCCTATAGACAAAAGCCCTACACAAACAGCAAACACCTCACCGTGGCAAACCATGCATGGTGGAAGTCCAAAAATCTGACCAAAAAGCGTGGCCAAAGAAGAACCGCTCTTCTTGGAATGGTGCTCTTTGAACAAATAACACTAAACAAAAACACATCAACAAAACAAACAAATGAATAGATAAATTAGACAAAATTAGACCAGCTATTTCATGTCCGTGGTTCCTCCACCCATTTTTGGTGCTTTTGGAAGATTCTCAACAAACTCCCAACCGGACAAGGTCGTCAATTGAAGTTCAAGCTTTGAACTCTTCACACTGCTCAGCCCGTGGTTGATTTAGTGTCCCACCTCGTGGCAAGATTCAGATCCTGTTCTACCATCTAAAACGGTCATGTTTCGGTCGTTCCTGAGTTTTTGCGGGTTGACCAACTCAACATCTGTTCAAACCCTGTACAACTTGTGGGTTGAGCACCAAAAAACTTGACTGGCAACCCGAGAATCAAACGCAGACGAACTCCTCCGTTCTCGGTTCTTCTCCGGCGCCTCCGGGGCATGCAGGTCTCGGTGGCCTGGAGCTCGTGGCCACGCGACCGTGGGTGGACAGGGACCTCGGTGGTCTTAGGGGATCCGCAAAAAAAAAAGTTTTGGATTGGGGAGAAAGCAACAACATAGCACAAACAGCGCAATTCCGCTTCCAATTGTTTCTCACCCTAACATACCCCGGGTTTTCCGACAGGTCGATGGTGTCATACCAAGCAAAGGGAAGAACCCACCAAATCTGCACATCACCGACCTGAGAATGCTGAGCAAGACGTCACCAGACGGCCATGGCGCCCATGGCCCCGACTTCTACCGCCGCCCTCCAAGGCCTGGAGAGTCTACTAAGCAGTAATGCCAGGAGCGCCCCGTTCGGTTCGCGTCGGACCGCTCCCTCCGCGATGCCGTAGCTCCGTTCGTCCGACCGCTCACTCGTCGTCATGCCATGCCTTGAGAAACTGACCACCGACCACCGTCGTCGTTCCGCTTCCCTCCGCACCTTGGGTGCTTCGAAGTCCCATCCAGCCACCTTGAGATGGTGCGACGGGTGCCACGGAACGGACGGAACGGACGGAACGGTTGTCAGGACTGTCCCCAGAACGACCTGGAAGAAAAGGATAGGCTATATATGAAGCTAAGCACCCTATACCAGGACCATGGAAGGGGTGGTTATTGGACGGAAAATACATGGTGGTTGATCAATATTCGTTCATCCTAGAATGGCAATTCTTCGTATTTCGCGGATCTTTCGCGGCCTCATCGCGAAGCATGGTCCTACACCCATGTCTAGCTAACATGAGCCGGAGCATGTCATAGTATCACAAAATAGGGACAGACATCTTGCAGCATGGCCCCAATCCTACTCAAGGTCACTTGCAGCATCTGTGCGACAATTATGCCAAATAGAACCAGGCACAACTCAACCCAATCCTCGTGCCAGCTACCAACACAGGGTGATGCAGCTTGGGGAATGTTGGGGGGCCTCAAGCTGGGAACCTGGACTTTAGCGGCACATTCGCGAAACTTTCGCGGATCCTTCGCAAAATTTCACTGGTGCTTTCCCCGGGAAGCCGTAACTTTTGCAAACATCTGCACAGCCCGTCAGAGCAGCTGCAGGTCGTTGCCTCACTATCAGGGCTGTGCCTACTCAGGTTGCTAGCAGCTAGTCTGTGACAGTGGGGACAGGAATCGGAGAACCCTTTACGCACTGCCAGGGCTGGGCACGGAAATGTTGAGGCTTCAGTTCATTAGTCTGTGACATATGGGGACACTTCCGCCCATCGGCTCTGCCGGAGGATTGCCTTATTCTTTGTCAGTCCGGTAGAAAGGAAAGCATATATGAAAGCGATGACCTTCGGTAAATCTTTCGCGGAAAAAACAAAGATACTTTCGCGAACCTCATCGCGAATCTTTCGCGGATGGTTCTAACAACATCTGAAAGGCTGTTTTATATAAAACTCCTTACACGGGGTTTTCTATCAACTCCCACATAGTCAGGGGTGTTCATAAACCACCCTTTCCGTGGTCCTGGTAAGATCCCACGATGAAAAGGATTCCGGTCGTCCGATCAACTCGTCCTGGAGGGAACACAAGTTGTGAACGAAAGGTAGTCCCAGAAAGGGAACACACTGTTGGTGGTCTTTTTGTTCATCCTTCTTTCATCCTTTTTCCGATGCTCCAACAAATTGGGACATGCTACCAGCTAGAGATGCCACTTTTTAAAGGTCTTCTTGGCCTTCGTCAAGCACTGAATGTTGTTTGACCCAATCCAAGCGCACGTGACGTGGCTCTTGGGGCTCTTGGAGTGAGACTCCATCTTGAACTGATGTGGGAAGCGACGAACATGTCTCAAGGTTCGACCTCCCAATATTAAGCTTTCATCTTCCTGCTGTAAGGCCTCTCGGTTTTCCAAGGATGTTTCAAACCCTGCATGCCCATCCACCTTCCTATGTTTGGATGTCTACATGGGCCACTGAAAAAACAAAAAACAAGCCACTTCCCGCCAGTCTTGATTTGTCAAAAATGGTCAAGCTTCGGACCTCCAAAGAAAGGGTTTCCGGCTTCGGGTGGTGAAAAAGATTCATTTCTCTGATCCAATGGTCCCAATGCCGGAAACCCTTTCTCTGAAAAAGTTTCATTTTTCCAATGCATCCATCCTGGTATCATCTCTGTCACATGTTTCAGTTCCTCCAAAGACCCAGCTGGCACCATCTGCGCCATCCATGCCCCAATTGGTTGATCCACAAGATCGAGGGACGCCGGAACAGCTCCGTGGCAGTTTGGGAGTGGAGCCTGGGCGCGGTGGGAGCGACATGAAGCCAAAGCATGGAGCGAAACAGGGATCGTTTTTGTCCGTCTTCGTGACCCATCGGCCGGCCTGGCTTCGACGGCATCTTCGGCTCTCCATCTGAAGGTGGGCAGCAAGCAATGGGGGTGGCACAGAAAGGTGCACAGTTAATGGCCATGCAAGACCAGCTAGAGAAGGTAGAAAGTCCTAGATTCTATACTGTAGATAATTTGGCTTCAACATGGAAATCCTGACAAAGAGATTGGGGATACATTTTGACAGGGGCTCCATTCTCCGTCTATTTGCTTTTCATTTTGTGATCACTTGTGTAAGAGACAGGATCTCGCAGATTTCATCCCGCCGAGCCATTCATCTTCGTCCGTCCTTTTGACACGACGAACGAGTCTGGCACGGACCCCGGCACTGGTGTCTGCGAGAACTCGGCGCGCTACCGGAGGCCGTTCCATTCGGCGTGTCATCTGAACTGTTCCAGGAACGATGTGAAAAACAGGTGAAAACCATCCCGAGTTTTGTGACGTAACTATTTTAAACATAAAGAAAACACCAACAATTGGATCCCTCCGGTTGGCCGGATCCCCCACCGCCTGGCAGCTGTTCGGGCAACGGCACCTCCCGGATCGGCGCGAGTACACAAGGCTTCCGGGTAGTCAAGCGCGCTTGCGGATTCCAAGACTTTGCGGAGTTCTTTGTGAGAAGGAATGACATAGGAATGACAGAAAGGGTTAGGTCACAAAATCAGGTTGAGGGCGACAATAGGGAGACATAATGGGGGGCACCCAGTACCCTAGTCCGGAGCTGGTAGTGCATACCAGTGAGGAGACCTAGAGGCTGAATCTGGTGAGAAGAAGACATTTCGATTTCGATAGCTAAACCAATAGTGGATGAGGATGAGGATGAGGATGAGGATGAGGATGAGGATGATGATGATGATGATGATGATGATGATGATGATGATGATGATGATGATGATGATGATGATGAAACAGGCTCAGACTCCCCAGATTCCAGATGCTTGAAATTTGTATATAGATGTATTTAGTATTTCCTAGTAAACAATCAAAGACAAAGAGGTCCTTTAAATCTCACAAGGTTCTCAGCCACCACTGAGAAGATCTCAACACTGAGACTGTGTTATTGCCTGCAGGAAATCCCTCAAACTCAACATAAAAGGTAGGTGTGCGGGTTCCTGAACATCAAAACCAAGAACAACTAAGAAACAACCATGAAACTGCATGGAACAAACCAAAGAAGAAAGGAAGAGAACACATCAAAATACATCAAAAAGGATTCTTGAACATCGGCACGTGCGCCGTCTCCACACCGGGCACACCGTCGCACCTTTCGCTGCTGAAGCAACTCCTAGGCTTCCCGACAGGGCCCTTTAAGGAGGGCCCTGAAGAAGGCTTAGGACGTTGACTCTTTTCTTTTCGGTTTCAGAAGCAAAGACGTCCGGGCGTCCAAAGACTGCGGTGTGATGGGGTGTTGTGCAATCAAGGGGTTGCCAATAGATGTTTCATGAGTTTGGTTGTACAAACAAGTTCTCCACGCCTATGTATCCAATATCATGCAACACGGCATTTCTCTAAAGGGCTATTCGGTATTCTCAGCTGAAGGCTCGGCCCGGCCGGAAGCCGAAGGCGTGTCACAGTAGTGGAGCTGAAGCTGTTCTTACAACATAGATGCTCAACCAACTGATCCTCAGCCTCAGCACTTTCTCTTGCAACAAGGATCCACGGAAAGCAAATCAAGTGCAACAATGATAACGTTAGGCGTTCAAACCCAATAGACAAACAGTCATGAGTCATGAGTCATGGTTGTTAAAGTTGAGCCGACTCCATTTTAAGCATTAGTTCGTTCCAACAGCATTTGCAGGCCGCTGGGGGTCCAGCACTATCGCCGGACACACCGTCTCTGGACCTTCAAAAGCCGGTCTCTTGACCGTTCCGCATGGGGCAAGGCCCCGGTCTCTTCAGGGTCTCTTCCAAGACTCAAAATCCATGTCTGCGAAGTAGTCGTGGCGCTGTAGCTCATCCCTGAGCGACCCGACCAGGAGACCCACTGACTATGCCCGGCGGATGGCAGACCAGGGCGGACCGAATGGTGACCGATGTGACAGATCTGGATGATTCTGGATGGTTCATTCGGCTTCACACACGACACGATACAGCACCTCCCTGGTCTCCGAAATGGAGGCTTTTGGAGACTTGCAAGTTGCAGGTGGTGACCTGTTGGAGGGTCCTGGTTGATAGACAGCATATACGTCATTCTTCAGCCAACAATCAAAGTGCATGGTGAAAAAGAGTTGTGGTGTCCATCTCTGTGCTATACACTTATGTCCTCAGGAAAACGCTGGAAAACTGGTCATTCAAAACTTATAACCTTTAGCCTTTAGCCTAAGGTTTGAGCAATTCACAAGATCCTCACCTTTGGCACCTCCGAACAAACCCAAGCACCCACGGTCCAAAACCTCGCCGAGCCGCGTCGAGGAGGCACCGAGCCGGTTGCGCGGCTCGCGCACCATGGTGCCGTGGATGAAGGATCTCGGCGACCCGCAAGGTCGAAGACCGTCGACCCACGTGGGCGAGGGCGTTAAACGGCGCCCGGTGTTCACTGGAAGGTGGAGAATCTCAAGAAACACGTCCTGGACCTACCGATTTGGGCGGTCAAAACGAGGGAACCAGCCAGTTACCTGCAATGGCACAGCCGCCTTCATCGGGAAATTAGTCAGCTCCGCATAGCCAAGCTACTTGATGGGCTGAGACATCTGCAGCGTGTAGTTCCGGTCGCCAGCGGTGTGGATTTGGATCAGTTCTTCATGTCTTCATGTCCTTTGACCTATCACTATAAATTAGGATGAACAGTCATGTCCCGGCATTCTTGCGGTTTCCCTTCGGGTGTTTCCTGACTGCCAATCAATTCATCTCGCTATGCTGTCCCACCTTGATCGAATCTCAAGACTTAATTGCCAAACAAAGAACACCATGATGTCCACAAACATGTTCTACGAGAAAATGTATGAACACCGTGAGACTACGAGTCTCGCAGTCTGACACAACCGTAGTCAGCGTAGCCCTGTGAATTATGGTAGTAGGAAGGTGACCAAAGACCGGTTGTGGAGAACCTCTCATTTTGAGGCATACCGTGTGGTGCCATCGCGGCATACCCCCCTTTCGTTTCTGAGGAGACCCACCGGGCAGCAAAGGAGACAGCCCTCGGCAGATCCAGCGGTGCATACCTCAGGGGCTTAGCAAGCTAATCCGATTTTGGAAAATCGACTCCAGAAAAACCGGTCAAAACGAGCTTCAAAAAAACCAAAGACTTCACAAGGCCAGGTCCAATCGAAATACCATATAGCCAGGCTTGACATGGAACATTCCTGAACCATGACAGACTGGTGTTCACCAATCACTTGTTTGCATTCACCAAGAGATCAAGGGGTCTATGATGGTCGATGTACTCCTGAAGTCCAGCACCACTCGGTCCAAGTGGCATTGGCCAATGCTCCGAACCCCTTGGTGGTAGCAAACTCTGTAGCATACTCCAGACATCTTATAGATGCAACATACTCCCAGACACTCCATCGGACTGCCAGTCCGGACTGCCGCCCCAGACAGACCCCTTTTCAACCACCACCCCTGGCCGTTTCTCGGCAGTCCGGACTGGCAGTCCCATTAGTCGTGTTTGGGACTGGGAACCGAGGGAGACGACGACCCTCACCCGACAGCGACGAACGATCGGCGGTTTAAGGCGTTTCATCAAAGCCGGCTCTGTTAGGCATTGGAGTTCTTCATCTTCGGTTGCCAACAAGGGAGTACCAAACATATTCATTAACTTCATGCTCTATTCTTGAGACAACCCCATTTTACGGCAATTTTTTGAGTGCCAAGAGTCTGACCTTCGTGTTAACCACCTACTCACTGACAGGCCTATCGAACTCGGATGCGACTCGAAACAGAAATCAAATGCCCTGAAACAAGCTGCATGATGTTTCTCTGCAAGATCTCTTTCCTCAGCATGTTTGTTGGACGGGAAGCTGGTGCCGTTCTGTTTTTAGAGGTTTGTGAGGCAGAACGTGGTTTTGGCATGCAAAACATGCAATTTACAGGTCCGCAGTCCGCAGCATCCATAATGCGACATGTATAATTTCTGAAACTGCCTGGGGGGTTGAGGGCTTTGGAGGAATCTACAGCTCTCAAAGTGGTGTGCAATCACCATATTCTGCCACGTGATCAATGTGTGAAACTTCAAAAACCAAACTTTGTGGATGAACACGCACAAACTTTGACATGTTGGGTAAACAAAACTGGATGAAAAACCCGAGTTCCACAGTTCGCATGGACAAACGGTCACAGTGATGTTGCATATGTTTGTAAAAGCTGAACAAGGAACCCCCGCTGCCAAAGCGCGCTTCTTGGGTTGGCAAAAGATGGAAGGGTCAACCCTAACTTAAGACATCTTAAGACACTAGGTGTGGGGTGAGCAGTGCTCGTTGAGCAGGAAAAATGCCATACTCCAAGTTCCAATGTTTCAAGATTCTTCTCGTTTAGCTCTTGACTGGATATCTGTTAAGTTCATGCCTTAACCCTTCACAGTTCCGCCCGCGTGCTCTCTCGTGCCAAGCTCGAGCGGCTCGTGATGGAAGAAGGGCGGTAACCCAATGAGCATGTTATACCTCGATGTGCGCGGACCCTTCGGACAGAAACAAAAAAGGCTTTCGGCCTCGCGGACCCTGTTCATCTACCTCGCAACACGCGGTCACCGGCCGCGGCGAAAGTCTGACAACTGAGGCCCTAAAAACCACATGCTTTGAGGCGAAGATCCAAAGAAATCGATTTTAATATAGTTTAATCACGCATGCCAAGCATTGCCAAGCTGCAAAAGCACACCAAGGTTGTAGATGTCAACCTCAATCCGTGACATGCACCTGTGACACTGAAACACCGAACATCTACCAGCAGCAGCGAGGGGATCTTGAGGGGCTATTGGACTAGCAACATCTGTTTAACCCAAATGGTTGGAGGATGTTGGAGGCTGCTGCTGATCACAAGGCTTCTTTCTATTTGTATAATGGGCCTAATGGGTATATCTCAAGTCCTGACAACCTACCACTACCCCGACCTGTTAAATTCCTAGACACTTCGAGTCTTGAGTCTTTCAGACCATTCCCTTTTACCAAAGGGGCCTTCGAAGAATTCTCAAGCTTTTGAACGGAATTGGCCACCTACTCCCTTCATCTGTTCACGGCTTCTTTCCAAAATTTTGAGTTCCTTCAGACACTTGAGATACCGGAGACAGTACCGGATTCTGGTCCAACCTTTCAACCAACGACCCTCAATTTTTGGGACCCTTTTTGCTAAGCCACGGTGTGGTTGTACTTCTGTCGCAGCAGGACCTCTGGAGCGATATAGGCCACCTGCACGAACCGATGTCTTTTACGTGTGCCGACCACAAATCGTAGATGACCTTGCAGCAGGTGGGCCAGTTTTTGACATGATTTCAGATATGCTTACCGGCTAGCACGGTTTCGAACCGCAGTGTATGAGCAATGGGCATTCAACACATGTTCAACATATAAGCTCAAAATGAAAACAACACTGAGACTGTGATAATTACGGCCCATATTTGCGCTGCATGATCTTGCATGTGAGGCTTGCAAAACACAGGAACGGGTTTGAAACCTTGGCGCTATAGAAGCTTGCTTGGTCACGCATTGGGTGAATAGACTCCGCTCGGAAATAGAAAGCTAAACACAGAAGGAACTTAGTTAGCTTCAGAAATCTTCAGAATCTCAAGGTCACCCGCACACGTTGCAAACAACCTGCGCTTGACGAACTTGAGACACCCTTGCCAAAAATTGGACCATTGTTATGCACAATCGCATAAGACCATAAGATTAAACAACCTACCTAATTTGTAAAAAACACATAATATCATATAATATCTGATATATTGTTATCATTTTATATCTAATAATCTAATACCTACATAGCTTGGCTGGTCATAGTTGACTCTCCCATGGCTGCAGCTCCCATCTCCAGTCGCACCGATCCGCAGTGGGTGCGGGTGCCCAAATGCCGTTGCACCTCATCGTTGTTAGGCGAAAGTCGGCTTAGAGAAGCGAAGAAGGTCGGCTGATAGGACTCTTTGGAAAAAAAAAGAGTCAAACCTCCATCCCGGGATTCACCCCGGTCACTCCCCGATGTGTTTTGTGAACGGATTTGGAAGTGCTGTTTTTGGTTGTCCTCCCCTCCAATCACCGGTGGAAAGCCACCGCCGGTGAAACCTCACCCTGGGAGGGCGAGAAAAGCTCCACCGGGGTTGAAACACCGCGGGGCTCCGAGGGGAGCTCTGAGCTTCACAGGTCTGGCTGGTGGTTTTAACTCACAAACAGGGTTTCAGTGGCACAGAAGGGATTCATATGATTACTGTAATATACTGTAATCAAATTTAAGAATTTGACATATCTGACATTTCTTAAATGTATTAAAGGTGGACACTTAAGAATTTCAATCATCTAACAGATCTGAATCCACAGAGCCAACACGCGACCACGTAATAGATGCTGAACGATGTGGGCCCCCCTTTCTCGCTTCAAGATGAGCAGCGCGATGAAGTTCTCCCAATAATGTTCCAGTGTGTAGTGTAGCTGCTGGCTTGCAAGCATGTCGCAACAAAAACCTCCCGTCATGCTAAGAACTTTTTCTATCCGCATCTGTCCCCCTGTCAGGATCCCCTATCCCTTGTGTTCGTCTGGCGACGGTCCTCGCCGGGGATCGGGTCGTCTCCGGTCGTCTCAGACCGACCTCCACGGTCCTCGCCGACTCTCCTGAGAGTGGCGCTCCGTCCTTGGAGAGTCCAAAGTCCGTCAGCAGAGCGTGGCCCTGGGTGTCCAACACCACCTGGGAGGGCGACGCACGGACGGGCGGACGCACGGGGGTTGGGGTTGGCTTTCAGAAGGATCTCGGGAGCAGGATGAGACAGAATGAGCATGTCATTAAAGTGATCGCTGGTCCTGGAATCACAATTAGTTGCGAAGGGAACATCCAAGGTTCCATGATGAGGTCGGGGTACATTTCTCTGACAAATGGGTGTGTTTATGCAAAACTTGAGCTGAATTGACCACGGAGTGTTCTATTCCTTGCAAGCGGGTGAATACGACAATTTGATTCACATGAATGGCGTACCTTGTGGGGATGCTGGGTCAGCACCCGGCTAAACGGTCTGCATTTAGGTCTTATTGAAACAAACCAGATATATTGAGCTTACAAATTATATAGGCACCAGCAGAATCACATGCAAAATCTAGCCCCAGGATGTTCCAGGATATTTTTTATTGGGTAACACGGCAAAAAAGAGTAGAGCTTCACAAGTGTGAGGCTGGCTCCCATCCCCAATGCCAAGCGACATTGTCAGGCTTTAAGTCTCTGTAGATGATTTTCCTGGCGCGTCGAAGCGTGTCAACACTACATCCGAGCCAAGAGACCCTGGGCCAAAAAGGATCTATATAGATGAGCTACCAACCTGGGACAGCCGGGCCTCTGCATGTTAGGACAGAACAGGTATGATCATCAAAAAGAAGAGAACATTGGGAGGCAAGTCCCAACTTCCTTTTTAGAGGAGTGGGAAACTAACTTGACTCGTCATGACTCGTTGCAAAAACACCCCTTGCCTCGCATGAAGGTGCTTCAAGGCCAACAGCACCTCGCCCAGGTATAGCTGGGCCTCGGAATCGAGGATGCGGAGGAGGCCTGTGTTCAGATGAGAAAACACGACGTGATGTTTTGCACCCCTAGTGGCGTCCTTGCTCCGTTCGTAGCGATGCCAGGAGCCCCTAGTAGCCTCCTTGCTCCTAGTAATTAGTACGGCCAGGAGCCCCTGGTACCTATTCCACAATCATCCCTTTTGTCCTAAGTCGTCTGGAAGAGAATGTAGTAGTCTGACGAGCGAGTCAGATGCTCCAAACTCTTCAAACTCTGCCAAAAAGAAAGACAAATTAATGAACGACCGTTGGACCCTCGCCCTCCCACCGCCGCCATCTCGTCTGGTCTCTCCGAAACTAACGAACGAACGCCTCGCGTCGCTCATCCGCTCATCCGTCGCGTTCAGGGCCGAGGTGCCAAGGGAGGAGGGAAGCGATCTCGGCCACCGCGGTCTGGGATGTGTTGTCGGTTTGCGTGGGAGCCCAGTGGCTTTAAATCAGTTGAAACGATTCAAAACGCCGCGTTTGGTCTCTCCACCTCGCAGATGTTGGGCCAGTTTGGGTCCATGTGTTTTTTTTCGAGGAAAGTAAACAAAGGCACCGGCTGCACCGGCTTGGTGCGTTTTCAGTGGACCAAGGGACATCGTTGGATGAGCTGCTGCAGGTTTCCACCGGGGCAGAACTGCATCACTAGCACCTGAGAGCTGCCAGGAGCGGTTTTTCAGCGATCGTCGTCGTGGACACCAAACAGACTTGAAACATCTTGAAACTTGAAACATGAGAAATCAACATCACGACATCTGCAAAAGGAAAGAATTCTAGAGTCAGAAGTGGGCATAGCTGCGAAAACTAGACATGTTTCACCTGGGATTCCAGACACAGATGAGCACTTACCCACTATCCTTGCACTTTCGGTCAATGTCTGAGACCGGCACTAAATGCTTTTGTGTTTGAAATGCGTACTGCAAAGATACCTGAGCCGCGCAATTTGGACACCAAGGGCGACGAATGCGGGTCCTGACTGCATCAGCCTGGTTGGCCACTCCAGAGTATGCCGTGTTCGCTCGGGTGGCGCGGAGTGTTAACCAATTGCCAATTGCTGCAAATACGGGACATGATGGGACATGTCATCTTTGGCCAATCCCCGTCCACCATTGGACCATCGTCTGATGCGGATAGAAGATATACAGAAGGCCCGGCGAAACTCGTTCTTCTCGTGCGCTTCGGTTGTTCTTCTCGTTCAGATTCGAGCGTCAATGTAGGGATGCTGGATGTAGGAGAGGATGTTCCGCTCGGTCATTGCGTAGCGCAGCAAGTTGCTGCTCATGATCCTCTCCTGCAGGCGTATACGAGGGAGATTTCGGAAGCTGTCAACAGAATACCCAAGACCGGTATGGAGGAAAGGCATCCTCAAGAGATCATGATCAGTTGATCAGAAGTCCCTTGGACTGAACTTGTTGCTGCTTGTTTCTTTCACCAGGTGGCTATACTGGTGTGGCTGGATCATCTCAAATCCCATGGATTCCGTGAAAATTGTAAAAATCGCAAAAATCTCACATCATTCCTTTCAGCACCGCCTTGTGGAGGACCTTCATGGCATAGTTCTTTCCGGTGACCTTGTGCCTCACTTGGAAGACCTGCGCCAGAAACGACAGTCCTCATGTCTCGGGTCCGGTCGGACGTGTCCTCGACGGCGGCGTCCGGGCGGGTTTTGCGGTCGGTATGAGCCACCACACTTGTGGGAGGCCTTTCGTTTGATAGCTGTAGTATCCTATAGCTCTGTATACCTCTGTCTTTTGTGTAGTTGGCTCACTGCGAGACCACTCCAATGTGTCGCAAGTCCGGCAGAGAAGAATTCAAGCGTTGCCGGTCCAAGCGCCGCTTGATCAAGTTGATGTCTTCCTCAACGCTACCTTTCACCAAAAGAAGGCAACAGATGCCAACTCGTCAGCTGTCCAAAACGCTTTCCACCTAATTACACTCCCGAAAACTAACATGGACTCTGAGAATGGCACCCTCAAAGACTTTCCTCTATAATCTCTATATAAATATATACAACCAGTGGTTTTAAGGGTCCATGTGAGTTCTCAGCGGGGTAAGGGACATCTCTCCATCGGACAAGTCGGCGGCCTCTCCAAAGGCTCCGCGACCCAACCGCACCAGGAACCTGACAAGAGTGGAAACTGCCAACTGCAAATGAGATGCGTTCGGTGTTGTTTTCAACAGTTTCGGATACGGGGAACCATGGGGAAACTTCGGTGGCAACCAGGCAATCTTTCTAGTAGAAGTCTGCTTCTCATGAAACATGCTCATCTTGCTCAAATAAAGATAATCTCAGCAGCACAGCAGTTGCTGCAGACAATATCAAATAATCCTTCATCACTACCGGCGCGAGTTTCTCGCCAAAGGCGAGGTCGAGAGTTCCTCGGTCTGAGGTCTATCCAAGTCTCGATGTTCAAGTCGATCGAGGACTCAGGATTGGTCAATGACCTCAATCATACAATAATTACACATTACTTAAGGAGGTAAGGGACCAGGTTTTACCGGAGCATTGGACTTGTAAGGGTTGATTGGGAAGATTGAAAGATCACCTCCTTCACCCGCCGGGCTCCAAGTACCTCCTCAAAAGGAATTTGGACCTTCCAAACCCACACCAAACACCTTCTCACAGAGGTACTTGGAGCCCTATAGGGCCTATTTCACCCTGTGCCGGCCCTTACCTCAGTGCACCACACGTGCACCACATTAGGATCGCCCATCCAACCACAAAGAAATACGTAACGTTCTCCGGAACCCAAACGCGACAACATCGCAAACTTCTTTCAAGCAGTGCTGGTGCTGAGTCACTCAAAGGACTTGGGATTCACCGGCTCTCGCTCGCTGTCGCGAAGCCGGGTGAAGCAACTGGAGGAGCTGGTTCGACCTCGGCTCGCTCAACGACAAACGACAGCGGCTCGCTCAGCTCGCTCCACTGCAGTGGTTTTTGGCCGCCTATAGATCACGTCGGTGAAGCGGGTTGTTGAGGCCCCGAAACGCCCGGGACGTTCAGCATGGTCGTTAGACCCCGTCCAGGACGTTCTCTCTTTGTTGGTCCCGTAGGTTTGACTTGAGCTTCACCTCTGTGGACTGTCCATTTGACCATGCATTGAAACTGCAACCCGTTGGTCAGGTACAAATCGCCTGACCACCCTCGCCAGGACGGTCTATCTCCGCTCACCGTACCCATCCTCCCGTTCGAATGCCCACCGCGGGGCTTCCGGTGCTGCCGACCGATTCCAAGGACCGGCGAGAAGGACGCTCAGCTTCCGGTGCCTCCCCTGAGACGGGACGGACGGGGAAGCCATGGCACGAAGGGCGCCATCCGAGATTGGCTGGGTTTGGCATAGCCGGTGCCCCAAAACACATGCCGATGCCTATATACTATACCTCCATGATCCTCGATCTATGTTCAGCCTGTAGAAAGAAATCTGCTCAATGAGGACCAGTGAACTTGTTCTATATCGTCTTATTCCTCCTTTTGAACCAACCCTTCACCACTCTCGTTCGCCCGTCACCACTCTCCTACGGCATGGACCCACCGACCCCCGCCTTCCACGCTCCTCCTCGTCAACAGGCGCTGCACGGCGTCGAACCTGGAGATGCCAACGCCGGTTGGGTCGATGTTTCCCAGTCCCAAGCAGAAAGAGTCACCTGGAAGGAATGGAACTCCCCTGTTCCAATAAGGCTATGTGTAAAGGATTTCAAGCTGGCGCCGGAACAGGGACGGTTCCAAGTCCAAAGGATCTGAAAAGCCTTTCTGGGGTGCCTCTGTCTGAAAGCAGAATTCGAACATGAAAGAACCCATCAACAAAAACTGACGAGCTCAAGCAGGATTCCACTCTTGGGGCATTTGGGTTGTAACATGTTGTAACTATGGTAAAACACTGCGTGTATGCCATATATGCCTACATTGGGGTGGTTTCAGGGGTCAATGTAGGCATATATGGCATACATGGAGTGTGTGGGTATGGTAAAACATGGTAAAACCAAAACCAGCACCTGGAAACTCTCAGGTGGTCCATCTGGATGTCCATTGCATGGGCCGGTTGAAGACGAGATTCTTCGGGCAGAAACGCCCCACAGGATGGGTTTCCAAGAAACGCCCCACAGGATCTTGGCAGAATTGATGTGGTTTCCTTCCCAACTATCTGTTGCATGTGTCAGTGAAAGGTCCGGCCTTCCATTGCGCCGCAACGTGCCAGTGGCATCTGCAGTACGTTGGTAACCATCCTGGACAATGGAAGGATGCTCGGATGGATGAGCTCGATTCACTTCATGTTCTTCACGAACTTCTTCATTTAAATTAGCATCTTCTTTGCCCTCTTTGTTCATCTTTGCTTAGGGCCGCGCCGACCACGTCAAGGACTCCAACTCCAAGAGCATCTCGGGCTTTGAGGCCTCGAGTGCGGTACGCGTGCGCGAGTAGAGGCGAGCGAAGCATAGCTTTCGAAGATACACTCCCTGGAACTAACATGGTGACGTGGAGCATGGCCCCGAGTTCGGAAGACCAATGTGTTTTCCACTACAAACAGGTGGTGCCATCCACGTAACCATGTGAATTCCAGGGAGAGTAGGAGAGTATTGGATCTTCCGTTCGTGACCAAAGGGCCTGTACTGTAAGTTCGATCACTGGACTGGGACTCCAAAGTTTGATCACTTGCCCTAAGAATCCAGGCCCTCAAACAGATAGGGTTGTGAGGGCCCGGGACCCCTGCTATGGAGGGTCCGACCCCTGCCATGGAGAGAGCCCAAGGATTCTGAGTTCGTTTCGGGACAGGGAAAGTTGATGTCGACTGGAGACCGAATGTTCGGCCTTTCGGAAAGGCGTTCAATCGCCCGCACATTTTTCAGAGATGCTGCATTCACCTTCCACACGGTTCAACCACCTGCTGCATCCTTGCTGCAGGTCTTGTTGAAGGTTTTGCGCATTGAACGCCCATGCTGACGCAAATATTTCGGCAAACCCACCTGTGGCTTGTGAACTCCTTCTTCTCTAAACAACCAATCGTGATTGGATTGTGCCAACTATGAAGCGTCCCATCATTCATTTGACGGACATACGATGGGCTTTCAGTGCATGCTGCATGGCAGGCCCCATCCCACTTTGCGCGCCCAAGGCACCAAATGAAGTGGCAGGTGACCATCCTTGGGGAGTCCAGGGAGTCGGTCGAACATCGGTCGGTGGCCAGCTCCGGAGAATGGACAGAGACCGTCACTCGCATGAGATGATGATCTGAATTTGCGCCCTCAAATTGAGGAAGCGAATTACGCAGAAATGATTCACTTCCAAGACCCTGACTGGGGACCCCAAACTTTGGATTGTTTGGACTCCAAACCCCTTCAGGTTTGATGGAGCATGATGGGCCCCTCTGCCTGAGTTCCTTCAGACCTGTCAAGTGCGGGCCAGAACTCCCATGGACAAAGTGCCAGGATGTGCCAAGTGCTCAACATTATATAAATAGAAGCAAAATACAACACACACAAATTGTTGTAGTTTCTTTTGGTTGCTTGATGTTAACTTGTTTTCTATATATTACAGTATGTTTGTCTCCATGTGTTCATCGCCGGGCCGGTTCACATCTCTGGCGACCGCCTGCCCTGACCGAGCCCTGCCCTGACCGATGGATGCCCCGGAGCCCGTCCTGGCTGGGCACATTGGCATCCGCTCGGTGTGCTAGGAGCACCTTCGTCACCTGCAGGTTGCTTTGAAAGGCAGAGACCTGGGCGCAGCGCTGTCTCGCGCAGCCCGACGCGAGACGACCGGCGCCGACTGGGCTTCTCTTCTTCGCGAAGAAAGCGTGCTGTTTCGGTGGTGTGATCATGAAAGATCCATCCGTTGGACGACACGAATAGAGTCGGGAAACAACGAATCGCTGTGGTCTCGACTTGGTCTGTATCGATTTATTCGGCGAGCTTAAGGAGGTTCATTCCACTTCCCTCTGCTTAGGAACTGAATCAACCAACTAATGCAAAAAATGTTCTCATCACCAATCGTATAGCCAGGACTTGAGTCAGTTGAGCCACCAAGAAAGTGGGATATGGGTCCCAGTTTCTCAAGGATGGTGCCATGAATTTCATTCGGACTCGATCAATCCTGCCTGAAGGGAATCACGCTCACCACGCCAGGGGAATCCATTAGCATCACTCTTGCCTTGCATTACCTCTCTTCTTACAATCTTTGGGTTCTAACAACGTGCCCAAGTTCAGAAACCACACCTCCATCTCTTCAGTTTTTGGCTTCTGACTGATGTTCTGATCATCTTCTGGCATCAAGTCTACCATTTGAGGGTCACCTGGTTAAGGTCCACGTTTCACCTGCCGACCAGATGCATGCAAAGGGGTGAGCCCTTGGAAGCTGCGGTGCTCCTGGCGCCCCACGTCATGTCTGTGTCCAGAGGCCCGCGTCGCGGCGCGGGTTAGTTGGGGGGATCTTTTCCATGTTTAATCATACTAAAACATATCATTATGTTTTTAATCTATGTTTCAAGCATACCAATGCATCAAACTGCAGGAACTTGTTGACCTGTAGCTCGGAATCGCACCAGTGGTGCTTGCCAATGTGGTGCAAATGAGCCATGCCAACCATGTCCCCCAAACCTGCACTCCTTTTTCAACGGTTGAACCTACATACCCACACGGTGGCGGGATGGTCACATGATCAATATTCCTCTGACCTGAAGCCAAACAAACACAGACTGAGGCTCTTGTTGCATTTGGCATAAGACCACACACACATGAAGCATCACATGAATCCTCACCCTGTTCAGAAAGTCGCTCAAGCTATCTCCCCGCACCGATCCTTCCTTCCGACCGGTTCCCACACCTGCCACCCCTTCCCTTCGGTCCCTCCGTCACGGTCGTCCGTGCGGCGGATCCGCGGGCGCTCCGGCGTGGCGTGCGCTTGCAGCAAGACCTGGACGATCTCCGCGGAGCCGTTGGCCGAAGCCAGGTGAAGGGCACTGCGGCCCTGAGACGAAGCAGTGAAGGTGAAGGATGTGAAGGTGAAGACCGGGGGGGGTCCGAGTGAGCTGTGTTTTGTGCAGGGTTCAACATTGACATGGTTCTTATTTTAAGACAAAAAGAAAGCAAGCATTCGTAAATACATTGGGCGTCATTGGGCTTCAACGGCTCTTTTTCCCTGTGAATTCTGAGGGATTGCCAGAGCCTTCGATTGCGTGCAACCACACCAGATCGATCGTGCGTGCCATAGAACAGAGGTGCGGCTTGATCATCTGGTCAGAGCAGTGATTGAGATTGAACTATATCGTATCCTGTCAGGAGACGATCCAAACAATATGATACTATCTGGATCTGATACTCAACACCCCCCAAAATAAGCGGGCCAAAATGAACGTCTGAGTCTTTGTAAGCCCCTTAAGAACAATTGTCAGCATCCCTCTCCAAAGTGATCATGTCCGAAAAAATGTCCATGGATCGCAGACGGGTGATGCCCACGCATCAGACTCCCCCCCGATGGGTCTGGGACTCCCCCGCGGTGGGCCCATCGATGGCATTGGCCCGCGCGGGCGGGGCTGCTCTGAGCAGCGCCATGCAGCCCGCAGCATCGCCCAACTGGCGGGTTGCGTCGGAAGAAACCTGGTGGACGGGGTGCTTCTAGAGGTGACGGATCACATAGAACACACGTCTGGCAAACAAAGAGGCTCACCAGGACCATAGTTGCCATAGTAATAAGCACCAGGACATTCACACCTTCCAAACTACTGAAGGGGATGACGATGATATGATGATCGCCTCAAACAGTTTGAACTCCTGGCGCTTTTCGACATCTTTTTCTCATTTCGCCAGGCGCTTTTCACACAGAGTCACGCCATGCGAGGCTTCCTGGCAGGGAGTTGGCGCGAGTGAAGGAGTGAAGAACCGGATGCAAGTTCCACCACATATCCGTAGAAACATAGCCAAAGAGGCTTGGGACAAAATGAAAACAAACACCAGAAGAAACATGATAATAGCGTCCTTGCCCCTAGTAGCGAGGCCAGGAGGCCCTAGTAGCTTCTTGTTCCTAGCCCCTAGTAGCGTTCTTGCTCCTAGAATGTTACCATCAGTTCCCCCCAGTTTGTGTTACCGGCAGGCTGGTCGAGCGTCACGCCGCAGAAACACGATACCTCGACAGGAATGTTGACACATAAATTATTCATCTTCCAACGTTGTTTATATTTGTCTGCGAACACAAAAATGGATTTTATAGTTTATAAAACGATCGAAAACCACAAGATACCTCGACTTTGGGTGACTGGATGCCATTTCGAGGACGTCTATCTGACGGCCGTGCAACTGATCGCGTTAAAACTAAGCCCCCAAGACTTGCCTAGCCTTGTCCTGAAGTTTTGAACCGTGCGGTGTGTCCATCATTTGTGTACGTTGGCATGATTGGTGAGGCAAAACCCATCCAGAACCCTGAGAGGCCTCTCAGGGACTTTAGAATCGGTTCAAAAAAACATGCATCACCCCTTTGAATGGTGGAAGGAGAGGCTTAGTCTCCAATGTCAAGAGGTGCCTCGTCCAAACTCAAGTTCAGCAGGTGCGGATCGAGTTGAAGTGAGTTTGGAAGATGCTGGATAGATGTTGGTTTCAAGTGTACTTCTGGTGACTTAGTAAGTCAACCTTTTCTGCTTCGCCCAGATGGTAGCGGTTCGTGAAACACTCTGCACATATGGAATATGATTAACACAACAAACTGATTCGGGTAAAAAACAACTTTCGGATTTCGGGGACCGTTGTGGACGCCTCCTCAGCTTGAACCAACGATCCCCAAAACCCCTTGAGCCTTGGTCAGGCCCTCTGCGAAGTCAAACTCCGAGAGATACTCGGCCGCAGCGTCGCGGCTCTGCACGAAGAAGGACTTGGCCTCCTCAAAGTTCTCCAAATGAAAGTGCGCTAAACCTTCCCAGAGCGGTCAAAGGGACGAACTCTGTCTTCGGCCGCAACCACAAAAAAAAGGGGTGGGAAGCCCCGCTTTTCAGCACCAGAAGTCAGCTCACCTCATGAGTTTCTAACAAGGGATTGTTTCAGCCATTTTCAGCATACAAACAGCAAAATCCTTGGGTCTCATCATGGAAGAATGGATTTGAAACTCAGCTAGTTGAGTTCATCCAAACTACAGGTTCTAGTTGATTGGAAAGGAGAACCTGTAATATGCTCAACACAAAGGTGCGTCCATCCATCTGAGAGTCAAGCGGCCCATGTAGTAGAAGTTCCTCTTGCATTTCTTCAACTCAAAGGCTTTCTTCATCCTTCATTCGGCCACAACTGCGGAAACATGAGGGTTAAACCGGGTGAAACTAATCGCAACTGCGGTGAGACAGGATTTCTCTCAGTCTGATGTCCTCTTACAAACTACATCTAAGTGGGCTATGAGCACCCATCAAATTAAGACAAGGCGAAAGGGTGGCCCAAAAACACAAACTTTTGACAGATTCAGGGAGATCTAGGCCGTAAACGTTTTGATGTAGAACAAAGCACCCACATGTCGTTTCGTCGGTGTAAAGAGTTGCAACTTCTATCAACGGCAAATCATGATACCTTCAGGTGACAGTGAGGATAGCCACACAATGATGAAACTGTGAGGACGAAGAGACGAAGAAAACATGTTGACGGTGATGACGAGTGTTTTGGACAAACATGATGACGTTCACTTCCAACAGACTTCCAGACTTCCCAGGAAGGTTGTTTGGCACACAGATTCATTTCATTACCATCAGCCTACATCACCTACATCAGCCTACGGCCTTCGGTCCGGTGATGCCGCGGCGTTCGGTCCGGTGTTTTGCCTTTGCAGCCCCCAAACTGGGGTTCTCATTGATTTGTCCCGGTGGCACATCTTGGCACCGGTGGCCACACAAAAATAAAGCGGAAGGGTCTCTTCTTCGACGGGGGCGTCTGACGGTTGCACAGGGCCTGACCTGGTCAATTCCCAAAGGAGGAAGGTTGCCCAGGGCCCTTGTGAACAATTTCTTGAATCAGCCTCTAATGGGTCGGCGGTCCGCCCCGATCGGTTATGCAGGTGTCTTACAGAGGGGGCTGATACGTGTTTTTGCCTCAACCCTCCGTTGTTAATGGTGCCCCAAAGCTTCGGAAGATGCCCATGCCGTCCAAGGCTCAACGTTAAGGCCTTGGGCAAGTCCCGTAAGGGCCACGGAGCAGCGATGAAGAAGCAGCCCTCGAAGATGAAGCCCAAGCCTCCTAGAGCCACTAGCTTGGAGGCTATCGGACGCTAGTAGGTTAGAGGCCATCGCTATATATATAGTCGCTACTAGGTTGGAGGCCATTGCTATTAGGTTGGAGGCTCTCCAAGATGAAGCCCAAGCCTCCTGGAGCCCATCGACCCAAACCACCACGACCGGACCGGTCGACATGGGCTTCGTTTGGCCATCGGCACGGCGGTGGGCGCGGCGGAGGCACGGACGCGTCCTTCTTCCTGCGGCCCGTTCTTTTGCATCCTCCGCGCGTTGCGCAGGAACTCCTGGGAGGATAGCAGACCCAGGAGTGCTCCGTTCAGTGGGTTCAGAACTTGCAAAACGTGAGACTGCAGCATTCCATTTGATCGTCTCTCTTTCTTTGCGGCATCTCACTTGGCACACAAAAGAAGCACCTTACCAGCAACTACTGAATGTATTTTTCCTGATGAAATCAACTTGCTCTTTTCGTCTGCTTTTCCTTTAGACCCTGTTAGACGACGTTTCTATATACTCTTCTTCTACACGGCCATCGCCCTCGCCGAACGCGCACGCGTTCGGACGACGTCCTGTCCCCCGCCGGTGAGCGCTTGCCGCACAATCCCATTGGCCGAGCTCCTGGGGCGAGCTCGGTGGAAGATGGTGGAACTGAACCGCAATGGATGTGAGACGCGGTTCGGGTCCGACGGGAGATCAGAAAAAGCAATAAACCCATTGCATCCCATTGCCATGTACTATTTTATACTCCAAAGAAAATTCCCCAAGCATGGGTGAGTAGCTCAGTCTTAGGGAGACCGACCGACATCTGGCAACCCCCCGAGTGGCTTTGGTGGGGAACATCGACCCAAACGGGAGGAAACACCATGGAAACCCCTCAAGCACTTCTCCCGAGATGAACATCAGAAGCCTGGAGACAAGCTCCTGATTGTTTTCCGTGAAAGATAATCCACTTCTTTCCATGGTATCTATGAGCCTTGATCCGTGAAACGAAGTGCAAGTGGCACCCCATGGTACCCCCTCGCTGTAGGCACTACACTTCTCCGCAAAGTGCGCCCAAAGATGAGGGGAGAACACTCCTCTTCCCATTTCCGAGGTGCAGGCTGGCAAACCTATATAGCCGCTCCTTTCGATTCATCGGCCAAAACCACGTGTTCACTTCCGACATGTCATGTCAGACCATGACAACAACACACAGCTCTTTTGATACCAAAGGCACATGTACTGAAAGGCATCTGCATAAATGGCGGCCGCCCGTGGGTGATGCGGCCAGGCGCTGAGAGCCCTTTTCCTGACCAACGGCTGGCACGTTTTAGACGGCGGCCCCGGTGGGCCCCTCCGGTCGAGCAGTGAATAACACAAGCACGTTCGAGTAAGAAAACCATGTAGAACCTGAAAGAGGAACAAACAACACAGCGACTTTAGCACGGGCACATGTCATGGCAACCGTGAGACTATGGGCACTGAGACTGTTCGGCCAACAAAATGCAGCTTTTTCATACACGCTTGGCTGCACTCTACTATTACTCAACTCCACCTATTGCAGGTTTCCCAGATGACTGGTGTGTTCTAGGCTGAAGCCACCAACTGGTAGGTGCTCAAAAACATGTAACATTGCAGTGGAAGCCAACATACGTCCACAAAGAACGTCAATGAGAGAGCCACACGGATTGTTTCACCATGCTGCCATTGGACTTGTGACTGTTGACACATTACATAGACACCTCGAACACAATAGTCGGTGCATTGGAACATGAAGACACCCTCAAATGATTTCTTGATTTTTGGTAGTGTGTTTTTTGTTCTGCCATAATTAAATATTTTGCACAATTCCGTGTGCTGGTGGGCCCTCATTTTGGCACACACACACACAAACATCCGTTTGCTGGTTCAACCCTGTCAGTTGCATCACCATCTGACCATCCACATCAAACCAAGCTGCGCATGCTCAACAGCTTCCGGGCCCACCTTCTTCCAAATGCGGACGTTCTCCGCATTGTCCTGGGGCTTTGCAATTGTTGCTCCGCATGTCACTCTGATGTATCAAATGAAACGCACAGTGCTTCGCCCTGCAACTGGCCACAGCCAGGGCTTTACCGGATGAACAGGACTGGAAACCACAAGGTGAAGCACACAAGGCCACCGACGAGGGCCCATTTTCTGTCCACTTGCACCTCTTTGCACCCCTCCACTTCAACTTCTCTAAATGAGGGCCTGGCTTCATCTGTCACGAATCACTGTTTTAAGTTCAACTTCTTCGACACCACTCTTCCATTCGGCCAGCATCGCTCCTGAGTGCCGGAAATCAACAGCATGTTGCCATTCGTCTGGATGCGCATCACACCTGAACGACGCGTGACGTTCCACTTCCGCGGAACTGCACCGCCTATGCGCCGAGTGGAAACTGATGTGTGGATGGGGAGAGAAATCGGTAGCATTTGGGTAGGAAACATGCGTGTCTTCCCTCGTGTCTTCCCTGCATTCTAAATGTGAATCGAATGTGGAGTTCCTGGTCATTTTTGCGTCCTTGTAAAGGGAATCATATTATGAGGTGGGACAGCATCACTGCAAAAATGTGCATAGGCATTCCCAGTGAACTCCTGGGTCATCTTCGCCTCATTCCCCATGGCCCATGTATCTTAAGAACCCGATCCAGGACAATGAACACATTGTATCTTAAGATTACAATAACATTATCTATTTTTCCCAGCTGTAAATCCAGGACAATCATGTATCTTAAGATTTACAGCTGGGCCTTTTCGAGCTCCGGAATCCAACATCTTCAGTGCTAGAGCATCAGCCAGACGTTGCCAGGCGGCAGTTCAGTGCATCGGCCAAGTCCAAGTGGGCACCCGTCTCCTCTTTCTCCTCGAGCTGTTGCCTTCGTGCGAAAATCACCGAAGTGCTGGCCTCGGACGTCGACCTTGCTGAGAAACCTTTTGGAAAGGCATGCAATGCTTTGCCAAGGAAGTCGGTGCCACTTATGGTAAGGATGTACATCTGCCTGGTAGATACCTGTAGGACCCATAGGTGTGGGGCTGCCTCCTTTTGATTGTGACGGCAAAACAAAAACACACACAAACAAACAAACGAACCAACGAACCAACCAACCGAAAGACAAAATAAAAAAGAAAAATATAAAGAAGCATTTAAAACAAACAAAGAGCAAACAAAGAACAAAGAAACAAAAAAACAACATCAAACAACCAAGCAAGCAAAAATCAAGCAAAAAAAATGAAACAACGAAACAAACAAAACAAACGGAACAAACGAACGAACAATCCATTCTCGGGAGCCGGCGTCAAGCCTAGGCAACCTCACACTCTGAAAACCATCAGACCATCAGGAAAACAACATGCAGTAGCTACCATGCCCATTGCTGATTGCTGTGTCACAGGCGGGATCTTTGCAAACGACTCACCTCAGCAGCTGCGCCGCTTCTTCGCAGTCACGCACACTTCGCTGAGGCTTCGAGAGGAGAACCTCCGCACGATGCCGCAAAAATGCCGGGGAGCGAGGAGCGAGGAATCAGCTGGGCGTGCTGTGAGGTTTTGTGTTTGGATAATTTTGGAGATGCCGCGTCTGTTTTTGGGTCATGTTGGGTCTTCTGGTTGCGCCATTGGTGCCCTTCGTGATGCGGAAGGAGCCAAGGCGAACGGCGCGAAACAGTTCGGTTCTGCGATGGCCGGTGTGGCTTGACGAGGGGGAGGTCCGCCTTGGCTGATGGAGGTCCACCCCTTCCCAGCAGCCCGCAGCGGTGGAAAGTGAAGATCCTCAGTGACACAAGTGATGGAGCTATAGGTTGGTGTGTCCGTGCATGTGTTAAGAATCCCTGAAAGATGCAGTGCACGGGCTGAAATGTGTTCAAGGTGGGGTTCGGAAGAGTGCACGGGCCGGGCACGAGTGTACTCTGACTCTGGTCTTTGCATCTTGGGCACCTGAATTTCGGTCTGCGGTCTGCCCTGTCCAAAGGATCGAGACCTTAACAGGAGTTCCCCAAGAATGCTATGAATAAGCCCTATCGGTAGATGGACTAGTCAGTTCAAGCTGGGACTTTTTGTCAGGCTGAATGCGTCTAATCAGAACACACTTGTTCGCTCCCATCAACAGAACAACAACCATCGTAAGTTCTTCTTTTCTTAAAGGATCCATTGGTTCTTTCATTTCAAATGGATTCCAAGTGGATCTTTTCTTGTTTAATTGAGGTTTCTTTCTTCCATTGGAATCGACCGCACCTGGACCCCACCGATCCGAGCTGCCCGAGCAGCGCCCAGAAGAAAAAGCGGTAGACCGAAGGCATGGCGGCCCAGGCCCAGAAAAGCTGTGAACCCAAGGGAGCTTGGGGGTGTGTCGAGTTACTATGTTGTTTGTTTTTAGATGAATTTATAGGTGGTGTTTTTTTGAATCCAAAGCAATCCTGCAAGATCCTGCTGCAAGCAACGATCACTCCAGCAAAGTGTCAATCGGTTTTGGTGCGATTCTTTGTCATGTCATGACCTATTTTCATTTGACCCCTTTTTGTATGATCTTGATCACTTTTCATCACAAGATCCGAGTTTGAGCCCTAGGCCCTAAACAGAAAGCGTCATGTTTCGGAGGACTCAAGAGATTGTCATTTGGGCTCAAAAGATACATGTTCGCCACAAATGTTCGCCACAGCGCATCAAAGCTGCTTGTACCAAATCAGCTCAGTTAAGCCAGCGCAGTTGCCATGACTGTTCTCTACATCCCTCAACAGGTTAGCTTAGCTCACCATGCAGTGCTTGGAGGAAGCTGATAAATCTCAAAGGAAAAGAACGTCGCAAAGATCGTGAAGCCCAGGTTTTCCAGCAAACAGCCCCTTAACTTGCTGTTTGTGGGGAGTTGGGTCCTTTTCCATCCAAAATTCCTTGACCTCTTCAGGTCCGAGAACTTGTTTGAATACATATGTTCATCGCGTTGACCAAACACTGAACATCGGCAATTCCAGGGAAACACACTCCTCGCGGAACCCGAGATGCAACCCCCCGCCGTTCCCAGCGGTTCCAAACGACACTGCTCCGCCGGAGCAGGGACCATCCCATCTACGCCTGGCTGGCACTCAGCAGCTTCTGGTCTTGGCATCTTTGTTCATGCCACCATTGCTGCCAGGGTTTCCGATCCTCCAGAGAAAGCCAAGCGGGACCGTTTCCATCCCTCTTTGAGTCAGCAGTTGACGCTTTCTCCGGATGGTTTCTCCGGTTTCCACCAATCTTTCAGCTTCTGACAGTTGGTCGAAATGAGGGCGAATTTGCTTCTTCCGAGAAGGAAGATGTTTCTTCGATTGACCCACCAAACAACGCTCTAAATCTATAGTCGGCTGATGAGAAAAGGACTTCCCTTTCAACACGTGTTGAACATCATCTCTGTCGATTTGGTGGCCTCTATACACTTCTTTTGCCGGGCCAAAAGTACATCCCAAAATGGTTCCCCTTTCAGATCCACAAAATCCGCTGCTGTTCCACAGTTGTTTCCACATCGTAGTCCACCTTCGATCCACACTTCCAGGTATAGCGCCACAGACACAGGCGCCTTGGGTAAGCGCTTGGGGTCCATGGGCCGTTCGAACTGCTCGTGGTCGGTGACATACCTGCGACGTGGTGGCCGCGAGGAGTGGCGCGCCGCGGCGCCGTCATCAGCGATTCGCCCGAGCTGCAGGGTGTGGGACTTCCGGGCATCTCGAAGTCAAGTCAATGTACAAGAACAATGCCGAAGTCGTTTCGCTTTTTCTTTTTCCGGTTTTCGCGGTTTTGCGCCTCACTTCTCCAGTATCCAAATTCTTGACCAGCCAGCCTGAGCTGGACAGAGACAGGGAACGCCCTGTCCGAACTTCTGATGTCTTCAGCAAACACATGAATTGCATACGGTAGGATCAAGCGATATGATAGCTGTGGCTGGAACAAGTTCCACCACCCGGTTTAATGAATATCCTAAAATGGGACATGATTCAGACTCTGATTCAAGAGACACCCATCTTGGAGGACCCCTTTTCACACGGGCCACAGGAGCTCTCAATTGGACTTGAGAGTGGGACATTCCCCAGATGCCCAGCCACCAGGCATGCAGCATTTTAGTTCTCAAGCCGCTCCCGCAAATGTGTGTTCTTTTCACGGCTGCGGCCTAGCCGCATCCCTAACCTCTACTGGCTTACATACACACCCGTGTGTGGAGGTCTTGACCACGGGTCCGCCCCATGATCTACGCTCTGATTTGAGCCAAGAAGCTTTGATCCTCTTTGATGACCATCTTGGCTACCTCAGTCCCAAGGTCTTTCTCTATTCAATCCTCGTTCTTTCATATCCAGCGAGTTGTTTCGTTTTGGTCCGCTGCACCATTCCCATTCATGTTTTCGTGCCACTGCCCTTCTACCAAGCAGAGAAGAAGCTGCTCATCCCCTTTACAAACCAGCGGCTGTCACATCCCGATGGGCAAGCCTTTATAAGGGTCTACAGCGGTCTGCACATGGTGTTCACACCATCTATGGTACAACAGTTGGCTGAGCTGTTCCAGTTCAATTCCCCAACGTCAGCACCGATACCACCATCATGAAGTAGATTACCATTTTGGCCAGCAGTAGTTGGAACATGGTCTCTCTGTCGACATGCTGCATATTCTGATCGTCTCTGTTCCAAGAAATCAAGAATCACACCACCACGCAAGCTCCTTATTATGTATTCTTGTTGTTTCTTGTTGTGGTATTCGCCATGTGTGCGCGTCTGATTTGTCACGAAAAGAACATGACATGCTATGATTGGCTCGCCGCAATGGCAGGGGTTTTGCATTCGACCAGAAGGGAGCTGCTGCGAAGAACAGCGGGGTCTGTGTGTGAACGCACGAGCACAAACAGGGCCTTCTGTAAGGTTTCCCCAAGCCATGATGAGTTGTCGGAAAATCAGGGAAGGTGGACCCATGCAAGGATAAGTTGAGATGCTTCAGGCTACTCATTGTTTTTCTCTTTATGATGTTCCATGAGTCTCCGAGTTTCCGAAGTCAAAAACCACCCGACACCCATCACAAACCCATCAGCTGACACCAAGTCGCCTCCTTTGCTGCGGCCATGGAGGGAAGTCTTGCTACTGGTGTCCCAGCCGTCCCAGGTCACTACGAACGTCTGGCACTCAGCCAATACTACCAATTCTGACAGTCACAGACTCAGTCTGTCCATAGCTAAGTCTTTCTCGTCAGATCCTTCTTTTCTGACCTTAAGATCCTTCTGCCGATCAACAAATCATCCTTCTGCACACAAGGATCGGTGTTTCAGGGGTTTTTCGATGCTCCGACCCGGGGCGGTGCAACCATGTTGGCTCAAGGACCCGATCCTACCGGAGTCTCCAGCGTCAACGGCTACTTCTTCGTCTCCTACGTCGGATCTGGACTCCCAAACGGCTCTCTTCCTCTCTTCGGGGTCCAAAGAGATGGGCCCAATGGGCAAGATGAGGCCCTCATGTCGGCAACTCATGCTTTGGTGCGCTCTCTCTTAGGATTCGTGAGAAGTGAAGCGAGCTTGAGAAGATAGAGAAGTGAAGGGTGAAGGGCCCCTTGATCAATTCCAAATGGAATTCCAATCACGCCTGGATCCTCCCTCTTCCTACACATCGAGAGCCAGAAAAACACATCCAGCGACGCGGCGACAGATGAACACGGGCCCACAGATGTGGAGCTCGCGACGCGCGGAGCTGTTGACACCGATCCTTTGTGGGCCCAAAGGTAACTGAGACGAGAAAAAACGAAAACATGGGTGTGTATTTGAATAGGGAGACCACCTGGCCCAATGAGTAGATTGGTCTATTTTTCTTCTTCCAGGGGGTCGAACTGGAAGGTCTCCCTGTTTTAATACACAACCACATGTTGGGAGACAAACTCTGGTCCGCTTTTTTCGCTGACCACACTGGTCCCAACTCAGCATTGTCTTGGGCCTGTTGGGTCTATCATCCATGTCACATACGACTATCATGTAGAATTGATTTAAACACACATCAATTGGATTGAAAAACGTCTTCCTATGGAGCGTTCTATTACAGTAATCAAGTCTACATGACGCACTGCCTTGCAGTGATGCATCTCGGCTTGTGCTTAGCATCACTTAGCCAATTAGCTAAGATAGAGCATGTGCGAACATGTTTACAGTGTCATGAAACACCTAGAGCATCTGCAGCATCCTATAGAGCCTGGAGCTCGACAAGTGACATGTAGAACTTGGCCTGCAGCAAACAATCCCTCACCAATTGTAGGTCGTGGGACATGTCGGGCGACTTCTTCTCCGAGATCGCCGATTTCTGTGCGACTCCGAGTCCGACTGTATGCGACTGTCCACTCCCTGCAGTTTACCATGAACATCCATCAACACAAGTCAAAGTTTCTCAGATCTTTTGATTCATCTGGCATATCATATCTGAAATAATGTTCCTTTCTTTGGACGCCAAAGAGACACCATCCCCCCCGATGCACCTCTGCCTGAATGAGCTTCAAGTCGCTGGTTTTCCTGTCACAAAATGAGTCGCTGGTGCCCTGCTAGTCTGGTAACCAGCGTGTCTGCTTCAGCCTTAATCGGTCTCACATGGTCTCACTATCTGGAAGCCAACAGGAGCCAACGAGCGATTTTAATTCATGTGTCCTAAGGGCAAAATACTTCGCTAGTTTTGCCATCGCTACTAGGTTGGAGGCCATCGCTATTAGGTTCAAGGAATATGTTTTGTCTGTGAAGCGTTTGAGACCGCCGAGTCCAAAAGGCGGCTGTGGACCAGCCAGCCTCGACTAGAATTCGGCTGACTTCGGCGCACCGAGGAGACCTGATTCCTCTTTCTCGCCTGAAAAAGGGGTCTGTCAGAGGGCGCCATCGTGCAGAACATGCTGTCCTGAGGACTCCTGGACGCCGACCCCATGTGCAACCCTTTTAAAAGAATCCTCGGTGCCATGCCGGGTCAAGATGGGTTATGCTTTCTCAGCGGAGCTTCTCAGCACATCCAGGGAACAGCGCGAGAGAAATCGTTTTTCATGGTGTTGTTCCTCCCCTGAATCGAGACACTTGGAACCGCTCAAGTGAGGATCCGTCACAGGATCCATAAACACAAATGTGGGCCCGGTCTTCGGTTCAACGTTTGGTCTTCGGTTTGTCCAAAGACTTCCTCCACATGTCCGACATGTCCTCCGCCCTCTTCGTCGGTCGTCGGTCGCGCCTGGGCGTGCTGGTGCAATTGCTGCCGCTGGGCGCGCTCTGCAGGTGCCGTCCACGAGGCCATGGCATCGCCTGGCCGCGAACGAGTGCCGAAGAGGGGTGGAAAGATCCGTCCGGTGGGCTGGACAGCCGTGTGAGAACATGTAGTTGAACACCCTATAGAAAGCATAAGGAACACTAGTGTTGTGCTGTTTGGGAGACACCCTCTTGCTGGTGTATGAGGGATCTGTGGTGATGGTCCCACCCAGAAGACCAAGAAAAATACGGCCTCACTCGTGACGTGCATGGATAGACCAGTGAGGGCCGGATACAGACCTGCATGTTGCTACAGATCAACATGTTCAGCTTGAGATACGCCCAATGAATCTGAGAGATGGTTCAGGAGATCAGCAACGAAGCTGATGAAGCTGATGTTCTCGTCTTCTGAACATCGAAGCTGCGGCCTTGGGAGTATGTTGTGAGTTGTGAGTAGTCCTATGAGACGGTATCAGCGTATCAGACACCCTGAAGATCCAGTCCAGGGAGTGTGATACAAACAACAGGCAAAAAAAACGTATATATAGTCATATAGTGACTATAGTGGTTCCATAGTCTATTCCACGTGCTGAAACATCGTGTGAAAAACACGCAGATTCAAAGTACAGAAGCTCCATGAAATCATCGTCCTTCACAGTGGCGAACAGTACGCAGTATCTTTCATACATCCCACGATGGGGTCTGCAGTTCGCAAAATGCTTCGGATGTCTACTATGTAGTACTTTATAGTTACACAGCTGTTGCATGCAAAAAATGCTTCTTCTTCCTCGAATCTTACCAGAGCCCTGTCGGTCGCGCAGGCTACGCATGGCGTCGCTCCGTCGCCAGCAGTCGCCAGCCTCGACCTCTGGTAGATCGCCTTTCGCAGAACGCGGAATTGGAGACTTGCCGATGGGGCCTGGTTCTATACTGACCCCAACGAGGCGCCATACAGTTACACCATGTTACACAGGTTTTCCACGACCTCAAAACCTAAGACTGAGTATGAACTTTGCAACCCTTACAGCATGCGACCCTCATGGCGTCCAACGAACTCCCAAGTGGTGCCGCATTAGCCCAGTTCCGGGGTTGCCACACACCCAGATGGGCAGAGTCCAAGTGACAAATGAGAACTTTAAAGGATTCTGAGTTCTGAAATTTGCTTGCAATTGGAGCCCCCCACCCTGTTGTTCCAAGGCGCACTCACCAACCCTTTCGCAAGTCATTTCGCCCGATTTCGGGGCGCACCCTGCCTTCATCTTCCAATCGACGTGCCAATGATAAGTCCTGACCAGTCATCAGAGCCATCGGATCGATCCGCTGCCGTCATCCTCAGGTGGGATCGATCGAACCGCTTGGAATAGACGACCTACATATGGTCCACCGACCCATATTGGGGTTGAAAAAGAAAAGAAGCCGGATGCCATGACCCACGTGGCACTGGCGATGGTGTGCATCATCTTGCCGAACAGGAGGGATTTTTTTCTCGGCGTGGCCCTGAACAAGGACTTTGCTTTGCCGAAAATTTGCCTTCCGGATCCTTCCGGTGGTTTTTATTTAATGGAGTGATCCTCAAGATATTTGAGTCACTCTCACAGTCACACTTCTGTGATGGAAAAGGAATGTCCTCCCCTTATCTCCGTGGATGCTGTATTTCGTAAGTCCCCTAATGCCATATTAAGGTCAATGCTTTTCTGCGCATCTACAAAGGCAAGGGTCCTCAGCCGAGCTTCACAGTGCAATCCCCGGCACAGTTACCATCTTTGTCCATGCCCATGGTGGCTTTGGCAGTCACACGAATTGGGAGTGCGATCTCCCCGACGCCCCGATCTCCTGGCAGTTGCCGTTGTAGGCATCGAACAGCGCCTCGAGATCTCGGCGCAAAACTGAAGAACCACCATGGGGATGATGCGAAAACGACCCCCCGGCACCACACGCAAATGATTCTGAACGAAGTTCCATATTTTGTTATCCACACATCCCACAAGTCACAAGCAAAAAGGATATGGAAGGAGGAAGGATGTCTATAGAAAAGGAACAAGTTGCAGAACGGTTGCCATGTCCTCCAACCTCTACTAGGAACAAGAAGCAACTAGGACGCTACTAGAAGCGATGGCCTCCAACTCCACGTCCTCCATGTCCCCCATGTTCCCGACAGGTTCACCGGTCCTTCTTGATCACCAGGAGCCGCCCGCCGGTCTCTGCGCCATACCTGTGGATCCCAAACGGGATCAGACTTCATTTGGAAAAAGCACTCTGGACACCAAGATGGACTCCAAAAAAGACAAGATAAAACAAGGAAACACATCCTTCTTTTTCTTCTGAGGTCCGCGCGAGACATCAAAGGTCCAACAAAGAAGCAAATCGCGAGTGCGAGAATCACAGAGAGTTTGGTAGGGACATTTCATCGTTCGCCTCTACGAATGTGTGAAAAGCATCCTCTTGACCAAGTGGTGAATGAATTTCTTCCAGCCAGGAGTCACAAGATGGGGCGCCGAGCTTGGAGGATAGGGGTGCCCAGAACATCCACTCACTGGATGGGACCTAAAAACCACACCCCTTTGTGACCCCTTGGAGTGGCGTTCTTCTCTCCAACTCCCATGGCCCTCTCGCCGTTCGGCGCTTCGTTCGGCCTGAGCCGTAGCGTCAGGTCGCTGCCACGATAGACAAAGGGTCGGAACTGCCCCACCACCTCGCGCCGTGGACCACGAGTTCATTTTGAGTTCAAATGGAACAAACCTCATGTTGAACCCATCCTTAAGTGCTAAGGAACATCATCTCAATCCATTCCTATTCATGTCTGGTTCATGTCTGCTCCTGCTCTCACCCTCCTCCCCGACTGGTCAAAGGTCGACTGGCTCGACTGGCTCCATTCCGCTTCGACTCATCACTCGACTGGGCCGCTCCTGCAACAAGCGCTCCGGTGCTTGGGCCCGAATC